GGTCCGGATGACATGGCGTCCCAGTGTTCCATAAAGAACTTCAAATCTTGACTCATCTGACCACAGAACAGTCTTCCATTTTGCCACACTCCATTTTAAATGACCCCTGACCCAGTGCAAATGTCTGAGCTTGTGGAGCTTGCTTAGAAATGGCTTCCTCTTTGCACTGTAGAGTTTCAGCGGGCAACAGCGGATGGCACAGTGGATTGTGTTCACTGACAATGTTTTCTGGAAGTATTCCTGAGCCCATTCTGTTATTTCCTTGACAGTGGCATTCCTGTTTGAGGTGCAGTGACGTTTAAGGGCCCGGAGATCACGAGCATCCAGTAGAGTTTTACGGCCTTGACCCTTACGCACAGCGATTGTTCCAGATTCTCTGAATCTTTTGATGATGTTATGCACGGTTGATGATGATAACTTAAAAGTCTTTGCTATTTTACGCTGGGTAACACCACTCTGGTATTGTTGCATTATCTTTCTGCGCAACAATGGTGGAATTGGTGATCCTCTTACCATCTTGGCTTCTGAGAGACACTGACACTCTGAGAAGCTCTTTTTATACCCAATCATGTTGTCAATTGACCTAATTAGTGTTGATTGGTCTTCCAGCTGTTCGTTATACACTCAATTTCTTTTTGCCAGCCACTTATTGCTACTTGTCCCAACTTTTTTGGGATTTGTTGACACTGAAATTTTGAATCAACATATTTTTCCTTTAAAATGTTACATTTACTCAGATTAAACTTTTGATCTGTCATCTATGTTATATTACGAATAAAATATTGACATTTGCCATCTCCACATCATTGCATTCAGTTCTTATTCACAATTTGTTTAGTGTCCCAACTTTTTTGGAATCCGGTTTGTAGTAATTTATTAATTGGACATATGTATTCTGTTTGTTAACGTGTATTAATTTAGAATTTTAAAGTCTTGTTGTAATTTCTGCTGTAGATCAGTGACAGTTATTCAATGTAAAAGTAATTTAAACCAAATTACATTATCTTCAACATGGTTCTATGCAATCTTTAGACTGAGGAAAACTACATCCATATTTGGTGTACATTGACAGCTCACCTGCAGTCTGTGTTGAGCAGATTAATCTATTAACAAAATGACAGTGTGAGGATGGACATTGTAGATTTCTTCCAACTCTAACAACTACCTCTTCAAACTAGTCATTTTCCAAATTCTTATTCTTTATCATTTGTTATTTTTTTAATGGTTATTCATATTGCTTTTTTGATTATCTGTGTAATGAAATTAAGACAACGTTGGTCTCATTTGGGAAGATATTAGCTTATTGTGATATATAGTTCCCTGTAATTAATGAATTCTACATCAGTGACTGAGTTCTGCTTTTCAAAGTGCAAATAAATTAACCTGTTATTGTTCAGTAAACTGACATGGCACCCCAATTTTAATGAGCAAATTTAAGTGTAGTAAAGTGAGGAGAAAAGATCACCCTTCTTTCTGCCTCCCTCACACCCATGATACAACCTAAACCTCTACTGGGGAGCTGACACTGCTCCTTCCTCTTAGATCCAGGGTCTGCAACATGTGGTTCTTTGGTCCCTCGGCAGCAGTTCTCACCAAAATAACATGGAAATGAATAATATATCAATGTATAATCACAATAGAAAAACAATAGAAACAGCTGGCAAGTCATTTGGATAAACCAAAGAATCAGAAGTTACATATTTAATTAAAACTGAATTAAATCATATTATAAGAGGACATTTATCACATTCACAATTAAATGTCCAACAAACTTGCATATTTTCTTATTAACTCAAAAGGCAATTTTTATTGAAAATTTCCACAAAAATAAAAGACGGCCACAGACCTGCATAGTTCAGTGTTTGGCTCGAATCAGAGGGGACTACACTAAATTATTAAACTTTGTATAAACATTTGGTCCTTTTCTTTGTTCTTACATGTAAAGAAGCCAATAATTGATGCAAGTTTATTACAGACCTTTACTTTTTAAATTTCACAAATTATATATATTTTTTATTGTTGAATTCTTGTAATTCTTTTATCTTTATTTTAAACTTCAAGCACATTTTGTGTTTCTGGACACAAAGCGCAAAAAAGGAGCAGGCTAGGCTTTTTTGATTGTAAAGACTGCAGATTTGTGTCTTAGATCAAAATATGGATTTACAGCTGCTTGTGGGACGTTAGTTTGGACTCCCCATCTCAGAACATCTGCATGCTGGTGAAGATAAAAAGCAAATGTGGCACAATTACTTTAAAATGACTTGACTGACAAACTGGGAACATTGCAAATAAGCACAGACATGACCATCATCAAGTGGTGGATAAAAAGATAAACTACATTTAGTGACACGACAGATATAATAAAGGAATGTGTGGCTTCATCCTAGTGTTTGTAACGCAGTCAGTAGACAACTACTCAACATTTGTTTATACAATCAGTCTTATTTTTTCCTAGATCTAAATTCAAACACAAATAGTTTTTCTTTGCATTTGCATAGACACAACCTTAATATCCACAAGATTTAAGAAAGAATAAATAAGGCAGCAGTGATAGTTTTAATTTATATGGATCTAAAATTATACTCAAGGTTTAGGCTAGAAGTGAAACTCATCTTTAATGACTTTAACCATTTCTTGTTTGGTAGAAGGCACACAGATTACCACAAAATATAATAATGACCTTTAAATGCAGAAAAACATCTCAGTTAACATGATTTCCTCAAAAAGAAAAGAGAACAGTAAAAAAAAAGTTTTGCATAAATCTCTATTTTTCCTAGTTTCAATAGAAGAAAAACAAAAAAGATAGAGCTGAGACAGTGGGTGTCAGAGACAAACCGCTTTAAACCACCGTCTCTGTTGGTCAGAGGAAACACCCAGAGGCAGAGTCTTCATGTGCAAGATGACCAGAAAGACTAAACACCAACATATTAAGCTCCACTTTAACTAAAAACTGTTCAAAGACAATCGAGCTCCGACACTGATAGTAGCTCAGACACCAGTTCATGGACATGAAACCACACTGAAGATGGTCAGAGAAACAAACCAGCACTGTTTAGTATTCCCTTTAAGTATTTTTTGCTGAGTCTGTACCTCCAAACAACCTTTGTCTTCCAGTAAACGCAGATGTTGTCAAAAATAACAGGATTATCCAGCATTTGGGTGTGGGGAGCGTCCAGTGGCTGCCTCTGATGCTCCTCCGAGTCTGGACTTATTCACATGTGGGTGAGGAGGCAGTGCAAGGAGGTGAGAGTTTGGAGTCCTCAAAGGCCTGTGTATTGACGATGACCTGAATCACAAAGTCCTTCTGGATCTTTGTGTCCTGCAGCCGTGTTTTGTCTGTTAGCAGCTTACCAGAAAAGAACCAGCGCTGGTGGACCACATTAATATCCTCCTGGGCCTGCAGCTGCTTCTTCAGCTGACCAATAGTGTCAGCCATGCTGGCGCTGAGACGCATGTCCTTTCCTGTGGACAGCCGGACCTACAGAGCAGTGCAAGCGTCAAACAAATGGTACAAGGTAGGGCTGGGCGATAGATTGACAATTTATATATATGATACAATATAAAACTTCTTACACTGCCGGCCAGCCCCGCCTCTCACCCTCACTGAATAAATTGGTGTTGGTGAACACAGACTGTTTAAACTGATCACTGATGAAAATGTCTCACCAGCATCACAAGTATGAAGAGTTATGAAGTCATAATCAGCAGCAGCTGTCAATCAGTTCGTAGAGTGAGTTAACATACATTTTCAAGAATCTAATAAATAAATATTTCAATTCAATTCAGTTCAGTTGTATTTAGATATCACCAAGTCACAACACAATGAATTGATCTTTACTCTTTATCTTGCAGCAGTTCCAGCTCAAAAACTTCACTTTGTTTTCTGAAACTACAAACAAGATTATGAAATCTGATCCACATCTAAAGCATCATATTGTGAACATCTGAACAATTTTAACCTTCAACTTTATGACTATTTATGTTCCTCAGGGGAAAATTAACCACCTCATTTAACTGCTTAAAATACTAGTTGTATAAACACAAAAAAAACTAGTCAGTCTTTAAGACTCAGTATGAAATAAAAATATCTAATTGCAATTATTTTTTTATTTTAATGCTTTAAGGGATTTTTGTTTAACAACTACAGTTTTTTTATTGACAAAATATTTATTTTACGGTAAATAAATAAATAAAAAGTGCATTTTCCTCCACTAGTACTCCCTCTGGGCCAACATCCTCATCCTCCTCTGTTCTCCAGAGCTCAGAACTGATGCTTGGTTCTGTGGGCCCAGTCAGAGGGTTCTGGACCCCCTCCTCCGCTCAGAGTCAGTCCTAGTGGGGCTCGGACCACTCTTCCTCTTCTAAAACAAGTCAAGATCACCCTCTTCACCAACAAGGTCCTCACTGTCTGACTCAGACTGTATTTCTCCTTCATGATCCTCTCCTCTGTCTGAGGTTCTGACTCTGTGGTTCCGTCCTCCTCTGGGTCCACAGCCCTGCTTCACATTCAAAAATCATCTCATTGTTGAGACTAGCACTAAAACTGTCTATAAACTAAACACTAAACTACACCTCAACTATAAAACCAAACATGCTAAATATCACAAATCTCTCAAACCTCACGACTCACTCCCACTCTCAGTGACTTTTTTGGGTTGAACTCCATCATGATGACAACTAGATTCTACTGTTTGGATTGGTTAAATCTTGGATTGTCTACAAATTCGTGTGAATGTGTCGAAGCTCGACAGTGCTCAGACTGAATTTGGAGAGCTGCTGCAGGGAGCTGGAGCAGGCTGTTATCAGGACTGTGAACTCACTGGCAGCACTCATGAATGGTGGGAATAATCTTGGAGAAGCTGTGAGCTCGACTTTTGGCATAAAAGATCAATTCGGCTGTTTTGGAGTTTCCATGAGAGGAATACATGCCAGCGAGACTTTTAAAAAGGCAGAAACAGCAATTCACGAGTTCTGCCTGACCCAAATAGTGGCCTTGATGCCGGACTTATCTGAACTCCTCCTGGAATGTTTTGAAAACAACAAAGATGCTTTGACTGTTTCATCACCCCTCCCTTCACCAAGGCCGTGGGCATGTAACAGAACCTCAACTGAGCTGAAGATGAATGTCACCTCTTATCTGGACAATGGCTGAGAGGGGGGCTCTGGACTATGCTACGACTTTCCCTTAAAAAAACCTATGTTTTCACCGGCCTATATGTAACTGTATAACATCTGTTTATGTTGCTTTGCTGTAGAAGGTTTTTTGATGCCTCAAATCTGTCTAGGACACGGCGTGAGAGATCTTTTTTTTAATACCGTCTCTCCTCATGTTTTCTTTCCTTTTCTAACCACTGTTTTTGTTTGTCCAAACAGGTCTCACTTGTACATGAGTCTTCGAGGTTCAATGTGATTTATCTGTTTAAATAAAGGTTGAATGAATTTAACTTCTGCGTCTTTTTCTTATTCCTGTAATTTTTTGGCACTTGACAAATAACCTCAAGCCTCCATCAGAAAGGAGGGGGTGCTTGTTTATGTTTGGCGGGGGGGGGGGGGGGTGAAAGCCGAGTGTGATGGAGGTGTTTTGTCCCAGACTTGCTGTCTTTGCCACAGCCTCTCGCTCCAACTCGCTTCAGATATGACAATGATTTTTATTTTTAAGATATGGCGTGGATTATTTATCATAACTCTCATTTTATTTGGTGTATAAACAATTAAAAAACTGTTGTGTTGTTTAAAGTCTGTACTTTTGACAAATTAAAATTTAGACTCTGAGAGACTGTGTCTTTCCCAGTAGAGCGACTGAAATCGTCCATGTGACTATCACATGCCGGCACATCGATTGACTCCAAAGGAAAAATGAATTAATCATCAGATTATGCGACGCCCGCCACATGTCATTGAGAAGTCAGGATCATCCAAGTTCTAAAAGTGTTTTTATGTATTTAACTTGGCTATGTTAACTTCCGTATTCACCAAATTTTAGATTCATTGTGGTTATTAAAAGCAAAACACAAACTTAAATTTTCTTTTCTTGCAGACATGGGAGAAAGAATAATTTTCTTACTTCTTGCAAAGTAATTAGCTGCCTTAACAGTATACCGTAATATCTACAGAAGTTGTTTTGCAAAAACTTAATTACTGCAAATATTGGGGATAAAAATGAATAACAACCTGGGGATAGACAGAAATTCATCTGAGCCAATTTATTACCAATGTAGGGAATTTACATACATCTCAGAACTATGCTCATCTTAGTACCTTGAGCTGGAATTCTTTTTTTAACGTTGCAGAGGGTTCAGGGTTGTCGTTGGTGTCTTCATCGCAACATTCTGAGATGAGGTTGACGGGGGGTGCCAGACAGTAGACGGGCAGCTGATAGCGGTTCCCGAGTTCATCATAACTTTCTGTTAGAGTACCTGTGGAAGAACGTAAAGAAAAAAACAAGACAGGACATTATTCAAATCTAAGAGAAAAACAGAGTTGTCGATGTCCTTGATGCTGAGTGACTTAAAAAGTGAATATTTGTAGTTTTTGAGATGTTTATGTCATACCTGCAAACTCACAAGGGATGAAAAAGGTGACAAACGTAGCGCCTGTAGTGTGGGTGGGGATTCTATGTCAATTAATTAAGATATAAATTATTCATTCTGGTACACTCCAGCCTTTTAACCTTTTAAAGCCTTTTTTTAAACCAGCCACTAGAGAGCACAAGCCAGTGTATCTCTTGTGCCGGTCCCAAGCCCGGGTAAATGGTGAGGGTTGTGTCAGGAATGGCATCCGATGTAAAACACTTTTGCCAAAACAATAATGCGAGTTCATCAAAGCGAAACCATACCGGATCGGTCGAGGCTCCGGTTAACAACGACTGCCACCGGTGCTGTTGACAAACAGGGTGCCGGGAGAAATTGTACTACTGTTAGTCGAAGAACACGAGGAGGGAAACGTGTCAGGAGACAAAGGGAGAAGAGGACAGTGAAGAATGTAGGACTGAGGGTTGCAACTCTAAATGTGGGGACAATGACTGGCAAAGGCAGAGAGCTGGCTGACATGATGCAGAGAAGAAAGGTAGATGTTTTATGTGTCCAAAAGACCAAGTGGAAGGGCACCAAGGCTTGCAGCATTGGAGCAGGGTTCAAATTGTTTTACCATGGTATGGATAGAAAGAGAAATGGGGTAGGGGTGGTCCTAAAGGAGGAGTTGGCAAAGAATGTAGTGGAGGTGAAGAGAGTGTCAGATAGGGTGATGTGCCTGAAGGTAGAAGTAGAAGGTCTGATGTGCAACATCATCAGTGGTTATGCTCCACAGGTTGGATGTGATGAGGAAGAGAAAGATACATTTTGGAAAGATCTGGATGAAGTGATAGAGAGTATTCCCAGGGAGTGGTGATGGGAGCAGACCTGAAATGGACATGTTGGTGAAGGAAACAGAAGGGATGAGGAAGTGATGGGTAGGTTTGGTGTCAAGGAAAGAAACCAGGAAGGACAGATGGTGGTGGATTTTGCCAAGAGAATGGAAATGGCTATGGTCAAAAACTATTTCCAAAAGAGGGAGAAACATAGAGTGACCTATAAGAGTGGAGGAAGGAGTACGCAGGTAGACTACATTCTGTGTAGAAGAGGAAACCTGAGGGAGATTAGAGACTAAGGTTGTGGCAGGGGAGAGCGTGGCCAGACAGCACCGGATGGTTGTGTGTAGAATGACTGTTGTTGTGAAGAAGAGAAAGAGTAAAATTAGAGAAGAAGACCAAATGGTGGAAGATGAAGAAGGAAGAATGTTGTGAGATATTCAGAGGGGAGCTGTTAAAGGCTCTGGGTAGTAAGAAAGAGCTTCCAAATGACTGGGCTACTACAGCAACAATAATTAGAGAGACAGGTAGGAAGGTACTTGGTGTGTCATCTGGACAGAGAATGGATGATAAGGAAACCTGGTGGTGGAATCGTGAAGTGCAGGACGCCATTCAAAGAAAGAGATTAGCCAAGAAGAAATATGACAGTGAGAGGACTGAAAAGAGGAGACAGGAATATAAGGAGATGGAACGTAGAACAAAGAGGGAAGTAGCTAAGGCAAAGCAGAGGGCATACGATGAGTTGTATGGGAGACTGGACACTAAAGAGGGTGAGAAGGACTTGTACCGATTGGCAAGACAGAGGGATCAGGCTGGAAAGGATGTGCAGCAGGCTAGGCTTATTAAAGATAGGAATGGTAATGTTCTAACAAGTGAGGAGAGTGTTACGGGAAGATGGAAGGAGTACTTTGAGGAGCTAATGAATGGAGAATGAAAGAGAAAGAAGAGTAGAGGTCATAGAAACTGTGGACCAGGAAGTGGGAAAGATTAGTGAGGGTGAAGTCTAGAAAGCTCTGAAAAGAATGAAGAAGGGGAAGGCAGTAGGACCTGATGACATACCAGTGGAGGTTTGGAAATGTCTTGGAGAGATGGCAGTGAGGTTTTTGACTCAAATATTCAATGGCATATTTGAGGGTGAGAAAATGCCTCAGGAATGGAGAAGAAGTGTGCTGGTGCCCATTTTTAAGAACAAGGGGGATGTACAGAGTTGTAGCAACTACAGGGGAATTAAGTTGATGAGCCACATGATGAAGATCTGGGAGAGAGTTGTGGAAGCAAGACTTAGACGAGAGGTGACGATTTGTGAGCGGCAGTATGGTTTCATGCCAAGAAAGAGCACCACAGATGCCATCTTTGCTTTGAGGATGCTGATGGAGAAGTACAGAGAGGCTCAGAAAGAACTCTATTGTGTCTTTGTGGATTTAGAAAAAGCATATGACAGAGTGCCAAGAGAGGAGGTGTGGTATTGCATGAGGAAATCTAGAGTGGCAGAAAATTATGTTAGACTGGTACAGGACATGTATAAGGACAGCAGGACAGTGGTGAGATGAGTGACAGATAGCTTAAAGGTGGAGGTGGGATTGTATCAAGGATCGGCTCTGAGCCCCTTCTTGTTTGCTCTGATGATGGACCGAATAACAGATGAGGTCAGGCAAGAATCCCCATGGACGATTATGTTTGCAGATGACATTGTGATCTGTGATGAGAACAGAGAACAGGTGGAAGAGACCTTGGAGATGTGGAGGTATGCACTTGAAAGAAGAGGAATGAAAGTCAGCCATAGTAAGACAGAGTACATGTGTGTAAATGAGAGGGAGGCTGGTGGAACAGTGAGGCTACAAGTAGCAGAGGTCACAAAGGTGTAGGACTTCAAGTACTTGGGGTCCACTGTCCAGGAAAATGGGGAATGTGGTAAAGAAGTGAAAAAGAGTCCAGGCAGGATGGAGTGGATGAAGAAAAGTTTCAGGAGCGATTTGTGACAAAGGGGTGTCAGCAAAGGTCAAAGGAAAAGTTTACAAGACAGTGGTGAGACCAGCTACAGTGGGGAGAACAAGTATTTGATACACTGTTGATTTTTCAGGTTTTCCCACTTGCAAAGCTTGTAGATGACTGTAATTTTTATCATAGGTACTCTTCAACTGTGAGTGATGGAATCCAAAACAAAAATCCAGAAAAATACAATGTATGATTTTTAAATAATTAATTTCCATTTTATTGTGTGAAATAAGTATTTGATACACCAGAAAAATTAAACTTAATATTTGGTACAGAAACCTTTGTTTGCAATTACAGAGATCAGACATTTCCTGTAGTTCTTGACCAGGTTTGCACACACTGCAGCAGGGATTTTGGCCCACTCCTCCATACAGATCTCTTCCAGAGCCTTCAGGTTTCGGGCTGTCGCTGGGCCACACGGACTTTAAGCTCCCTCCAAAGATTTTCTATGGGATTCAGGTCTGGAGACTGGCTAGGCCACTCCAGGACCTTAAGATGTTTCCTACGGAGCCACTCTTTAGTTGCCCTGGCTGTGTGTTTTGGGTCGTTATCATGCTGGAAGACCCAGCCACGACCCATCTTCAGTGCTCTTACTGAGGGAAGGAGGTTGTTGGCCAAAATCTCACGATACATGGCCCCATCCATCCTTCCCACAATATGGTGCAGTCGTCCTGTCCCCTTTGCAGAAAAGCATCCCCAAAGAATGATGTTTCCACCGCCATGCTTCACGGTTGGGATGGTGTTCTTGGGGTTGTACTCATCATTCTTCTTCCTCCAAACATGACCAGTGGAGTTTAAACCAAAAAGTTCTATTTTTGTCTCATCAGACCACATGACCTTCTCCCATTCCTCCTCTGGATCATTCAGATGGTCATTTGCAAACTTCAGACGGGCTTTGACATGCGTTGGCTTGAGGAAGGGCACCTTGCGTGCACTGCAGGATTTTAATCCTTGACGGCGTAGAGTGTTACTGATTGTTTTCTTTGAGACTGTGGTCCCAGCTCTATTCAGGTCATTGACCAGGTCCTGCCGTGTAGTTCTGGGCTCATTCCTCACCTTCCTCAAGATCAATGATGCTCCACGAGGTGAGATCTTGCATGGTGCCCCAGACCGAGGGAGATTTTCCGTTATTTTGTATTTCTTCCATTTTCTAATAATTGCACCAACTGTTGTTGCCTTCTCACCAAGCTGCTTGCCTATTGTCCTGTAGCCCATCCCAGCCTTGTGCAGGTCTACAATTTTATCCCTGATATCCTTACACAGCTCTCTGGTCTTGGGCATTGTGGAGATGCTGGAGTCTGATTGATTGAGTGTGTGGACAGGCGTCTTTTATACAGGTCACGAGTCCAAACAGGTGCAGTTAATACAAGTAATGAGTGGAGAACAGGAGGGCTTCTTAAAGAAGAACTAACATGTCTGTGAGAGCCAAAATTCTTACTGGTTGATAGATGATCAAATACTTATTTCACACAATAAAATGGAAATTAATTATTTAAAAATCATACATTGTATTTTTCTGGATTTTTGTTTTAGATTCCATCACTCACAGTTGAAGAGTACCTATGATAAAAATTACAGTAATCTACAAGCTTTGCAAGTGGGAAAACCTGAAAAATCAAGTGTATCAAATACTTGTTCTCCCCACTGTATATTGTATGGTCTGGAGACAGTGGCATTGACAAAAAGACAGAAGAAAGAAGTGGAAGTGGCAGAAATGAAGATGCTAAGGTTCTCCTTAGGAGTGACAAGGCTGGATAAGATTAGGAACGAGATAATCACAGGTACAGCACAGGTTGAACAACTGGGAGATAAAGTTAGGGAAGTCAGACTGAGATGGTTTGGACATGTCAAGAGGAGGGACAGTGGGTATATTGGCAGAAGGATGTTAGAAATGCAGCTGCCAGGAAAAAGACAAAGAGGAAGGCCAAAGAGGAGATATATGGATGCAGTTAGCGAGGACATGAAGGTAGTTGGAGTGAGGACAGAGGATGCAGAGGACAGAGTGAGGTGGAGGAGGATGAATAGCTGTGGCGTCCCCTGAAGAGGGAAAAGCCGAAAAAAGAAGAAGATGATGAT